CGCATTTAACAAATTAGTATGAGCTCTTTATTTGGGATCGTTGCCAAAATCCTGAGAGGAGCAACATTCAACAGGCCACCAGGCCTGTTGGGGTGCAGGAACCTGGAGCGTAGGGCCTCTGGGGTGCAGGAACCTGGAGCGTAGGGCCTCTGGGGTGCAGGAACCTGGAGTGTAGGGCCTCTGCTCTGCCATAGGTTTGCTGTTTGGACTTGGGGCAGTGCTGGGAGTAACCTGTACTCCTCTGTCACATGGGGCGGTGACACCGACTCCTCCCTACTCCTTTCCTTCCTCTTTCAGTTTGTGGGATGTGACAAAGTCCAAACCGTAAAGCTCTGGACCTGGGAGTTTTGGAAACATCTGCCAGACTCAATGGGCAGAGACCCGTTTAACTCCATAATGCCTTCTCCTGTGCCACCGACCTGTACGGTGGCCACGGACTTGCTGCATTCTAGAGGCAGGTCAGAGAGCGGCCGAGGTGGCCGAGGCGGGGCCACTGGGTGGACAGGTCCCCATCACCTCACTCAGCAGACTGGACTTTGTCTTTCTTTGGTTTCCCCCTGGGCTCTGAGAAATTGTGGAAAACTCACTGAAGTCTGACCTAAATTGCTGAATTTCGATCCATGGGGACCAATTATTTCAACGACTTCATATGACAGAGGAGGAACCCCAGGCTCTGAGTTCTTAAGTGATTTCTCCAGATCATACGGCCATTTTAACGGAAGTAGGGCAGGAGCCCCATGTGTTGGAGTCCCAGGCCAGCGGTGTTGCACCTTACACAGGTGTGCAAACACCTGTGACATAAGGAAAGGCATGGGAACAGAGAGTCTCTGGAGCAGAACAGGCCCATTCTGGTCCTGTTCGTGTTCAGGACTGACCTTCCCCTGGGCACCATTGTCCCCTCAGACATTTGTGTCTTGCCTGACAAACTCGCGCCAGGACGCTCTGTCCCACCTGCCGCTTGTGAGGAGAGGCACTGCGAGGCAGCGGGGCCGTGAGGGCCATCCTCGAAGCATCCCCGAAACCTGCATGCGCCCCGCACAACAGCTGATGTTCTCACCTTTCAGCTTCTCCTCGGTGTCACTGTCAGACTCACTGTTCTCATCCGTCACTGGACAAAAAAAAAAAAAAAAGGGAAAAAAGTTGCAAATGTGAGTTTTTCTGATGCAGGAAATGTTTTATATGGGATAGCACAAATCCAAAATTTCTAGATTAGAGGGGCTGTTTTCTTTCTATTTAAATGTAACGGAAAAACTATGCCTTTGTCCAACTAAATGTATTTCTAAATTAATTTGGCTTTGGATCAGATAGAGTCTATATCAAACAGGACAGCAAAAGATACTGGCCCCTTTTATGCGTGCTGAGCAAAGGAGATTGCTCCCATGGTGAGATCACAGCATGCTGCACTGGGTCACTGGATACATGGACCAGGACAGAAGACCAGAGGACATGCCACTAGGCTGAGCTCTGGCTCTTGAACTGTCCTGGGGACAGTAGAGACATTTACAAAGCATCAACTTTTTCTCCTTAGTGAGCCAACCCAAAACAACAGGAAGCCGCTTCTAGGAAGAATCTGTTTTCAGACGTGGGGGGGTGGAGTGGGGGGCTGGTGGGTTCCTACCTTTTCCTGAGTTGCTCTCTGTGGACTGGGACAGCCTCTTCACTCGTTTCTTTCCTCTCCGGGCCTCATAAATGGCATTGATTCGCAACACCAGCTGCCAGACATCGGGAGAAGAAACGGCCGTGTTAGCAGCCTCCTCCCTGTGTGCAGCTGGGATTCCCTCGCTGCCCACTCTTTTCCAGGATGTCAGAGGGGCAGGGAAAGGGGGAGGAGGAGACATTTCCCACTGGCCCACTGGCGCCTTTCAATCATTCTTTTCTGCCAGACAGGAACAGGGCTGTCAAGAACACTAAAGGGGGCTGCCAGCCTCACTGATGTCCGAGCGGTGTTGTCTCAAGGCGCTAATGCATCCAGCTGAGACACAGAGGGAGACCATTTCATTAGCTAATGGTCTGATGGCTGCTCCCCGTCAGATAGTGCAATGTCACTGTGGGTTGGGAAAGAGCTTTTGCCCCCAAAACAAAACAAGAAAAGGAAGAGACAGCAAATAAAAAGCTTCCAAGCAGGGCCCCTTTCACAGGAACCATGCCAAAGAACGTCTGAGCAGCCCTGAGGGCGCAGGGAGCAGGGAGTAGGGTGGGTCTCGGGTCCTCCTTTCTGCACAGAGTGGTGCCACGCACGCAGCACGCTGTCCTCTCTGCAGAGAACCACTCGCTCCAGACGTGCTGGGCCTTTCATGACATCTCCCAGTGCTCAGAAGCAGTTACCCAGTACACACCACTACTTAGCAGCGCGCTCCCCAGGCTGGCTACTGCAGGACCATCTCATGATGGAAGCCCTGGGTCCCCTCCTGCCAGGCTTCACAGCACCGCCTGCAACTCTCAGGAGTGGAAGCCTTGTGGGTTCCACCTGGAGGGGAGAAAGGGAAGTCTACCCACGCAGAGTTGAGGCAAATCAACTAGTGGTTCTGAAGGGGAGTTGTGTTTGTAAGCTGATTTGAAGAGTTTTAAAATCTTTCATATATTGAGAAGAAAAGGAGAAGGGGTATGCTATGGCAAAGTGGGTGCTGCGTAGCCAGGTGGGTGCAGTGGATGAGCTGTGGCCAGTCCCCATCTCTGTCCTCCGCAACTCTGATCCAGTCTCTAAAGCAGCTTACCAGCTCTTCTCCGCAGGCTGGAGCACTGGCCTGCCCAGGGGGCAGGTGGCTTATTCTCAAGGTCTCCATCCCTCTAGCTCTGCCGAGTGTTACTGACATTGCCCTGTCATAACCTCAGACACCTGCGTACCCTGGCTCCTGATGGGCGGCCCAGCCCTGGCCTTGCAGCTCTCTGTATGACTCCTTGTCCCTAACTATGAATCTGATCTGAATGAGGTCTCTGCCTTCACCACCAAATCCCTACTGGGCAGCAGTTATTCACATTTGCTCTTAGACACCAGCCACTTCCTTGAGAGCTCACACTCCTGAACTGGACTTTGGTTCTTTTTGCGGACGTTCTAATCATTGGAATACGAACAGTAACTTCCATTTCCCACAGAAGATGCCATTGAATGAGTTGCTAATATTATTTACAACGGCCAAGAGGCGGAAACAACCTAAATGCTCATCAGTGGAAGAACGAATAAACAAAATGTGGTACATACACACAATGGAATATTATTCAACCTTAAAAAGGAAAGAAATTCTGACACACTCTCCGACGTGAATGAACCCTGAGGACCTGTGCTAAGTGAAATAAGCCGGCCACAAAGGACAAATATCATATGATTCTACTCTGGGAGGTAGGATAGGCAAATGCATGATGACAGAAAGTGGACTACAGCGGGGGCGGGGGCGGGTGGAATGGGGAGTTGGCTTAACAGGTTCAGTGTCAGCTTGGGCAGACAAGATGGTCTGGAGGTGGATGGTGTGAATGTACTTAATGCCATCAAACTATATACACTTAAAAATGGTTAAAATAGTAAGTTTTAGGTTATGTATATTTTACCACAGTTTTTAAAATATGAATGAACAAACGAGTTTTTGGAGAGGAGGAAATTTTTAAACCTATTCAAAATATCCCCTATAACATCCAAAAATAATGAGAGAGAAGAGAGTTATGATGGCTAACAACCTTCTCCTTACTCGAATACGCTGAATGCCAGAATGTAAGCTCCCCAAGGGGAGAGATTAGTGTCATTTTTGTATATGTTATAACACTACCTGTATGGGATGGAATAGTGCCTGGCACACAGTAGGTACTCAATAAATATTTGTAGATTGTGAAAATGTTGATTGAACACAAAGCAACTACTGTGTACAAGGGATTTTGCTAGGAGCTACGAGGGATAAAAAGATTTATGGGATAGGCACCTGTTCTCAGGGAGTTTATGAGCTAACAGGGAGGACTGAGATGTGTTACTATCATACAAGACATTCATGAGTGCTACGTGAGTAGCATAAATCATGTGACAGAGGTTTGTCTCTTTAAATCAGGTCATGGAATAAGTGGAAGCCACATACACCTCAGTCAATAAATCTGTGCTCCTTTTTATTTAAAAAAATTTTCCCCAGAGAAACTTTAACCATGCTTTCACATACTTGTACTTTAACAGCAGATAAGTTTTATTGTTTTAAAAGTGTTCAGTACTAGAAGTATTGGCCTCTTTAGAAACTTTTTTTCGAGTTGAAAAATACGCTTAAAAATATAAGTTCATTTGAAAGATGGGCTGTTCCAGACAAAGAGTCACCAATCTCTAACTCTGCCTGTGGTGGCTGCTAAAGAAACAGAGACTGTACGCAAACCTACTGAAGCACTGAGAGGGAGGCGGGATGTGACAGCAGGCCAGTCCAGCCCACTTCTCCTTACACAGATGTCACAGTGTCCCATGAACCCCGAGGACATCACACTGCTCTGTAATGAACTGCTCTGTTCTGGCTGCCATGTTAATGAAAGAACAAGGCTGCCAAGAGAACATAGAGAAGGACGGTCTTTGTCTCTCTTTCCACTCCACGGGGACAGTCACTCCTCTCAGGCCGAGGCAGGGGGAGATCAAGGGAGGCAGCACATTGTCAGGAGGGACTCTTACAGCAGAGGCAGCGAAGGAAAACCAACCAGCCGACCGCCTGACCACTTGTGAATAGGCCACTCGGTCCTTCTTGCTGGATAAAAACACAGAGCCAGGGTTTGGAGAGCAGATGGTTTAAGGTCCCAAAACAGGGAAGTCATGATGTGCCTGGCAAAGAATCTTTGACTTCAAGTAAGGGATTCAGAGCATTTTGAAAGAAATAAACGATACCCAAGCGTGGGGATAAACCTAGGTTAAGAGTAAATAACAAGTGGTAAAACAGGATTAATGAGACTTCTAACAACTGTATTTATTCATTTGTTTTCTTTTAAAATGCTTCTGTAGAGAACTCTGTACTTCACCTTTATGTTTCAAGTTTTAATAAGACATTGTCGTTGTAAAAGTGACGGGTAAAACATGCTGATTTCTCTCCGGCTTTGATCGGGCCTGTCAAAGCCTACTTGCTAGAAAGCCCGTGTGCCCTTTGAGTGGTGGCGCCTCACTTTGATGTCAGGCAGCAAACTGAGAGGGAATAAACTGGTGCATTTGCAAATTAAACACAAACGAAGGGACAGTAAGAGTTCTATCTTTCTCCCCACCTCTGTACTCCTACATAAAGTAAGCACACACAGTCTCTTTCCC